TTCCTGGCTATTGCTTCCCCTGCCCTTTCTCTCCCTGGAGGGAACGAGGAGGCAGACCAATCTCCTGGTACCCAGGAATAGATGCAGGAGGATCAAAGGAGGGAAACAAACTTGCCTGAGAGAGCTCCACTTTGCCTTAAAAGGCCTTGTTTAAGGCTGAGCAACAGCTTGAGAGAAGGGGGAATAGAAAATGTGAGCAGAGCTGCCATGGAAAGGCTCGAGGCTGTCTGAGGACAGAGCTGTGACATCACCGCTGGACCTCAGAGATAAAAGCAATCTACCTTATTGTCAGGAAACTGGTTGGAGGGCAGGCCAAGGGGGGGAAGGTAGTTGGGTGACCTGCACACTCCAGACCATAAGTATTTCCAGGTTCTCAGTCTGAATTTTAGGGTCTCTGGAGAGGGGAGACAACAAAGAAGAAAAGTTGAGACTCCATCCATCTGAGTTTCTGTGGCTCTGTTCTTGGCATGAAAGCAGCAGTGACAGAAGCAGCTTCCACCTGAACCAGGGGTTCAAAGGAGGCTCTGTGGATGTGGGGTAACTATGGTGTATGTGGGAGGGTGGAAGTAACCATGGCATGTGGGTGTGGGTGCTGTGTATGTGAGTGTCAGTGAACAACAAGGCGAGGTCTCTGGTGCAGAAACCTCAGGGTTTAGGAAGTTTAAAATTCCAGAACAAATCTCTCTTTTTGCCATTTAACTCCTCCATTTCCTTCCTTTTCCAGGACTTGGGTGCTCAGCACCTCCTTCTCTCTTGAGCAGCTCACAGAAGAGAGACAAAGACCTCTTGAAGGGGAGCCCTCAGGGTGATAGATAGTTTCCTTTTGCTCATGTGTGTCACATTCTTCCATCAGGCTGGGCAATGACAGGTGCACCCCTCCCCAGGCCCCTTTCAGAGTCTCCTCCCTGCCATTTGTCTCTCATCCAGATATCCAGCAGACACCACCATACGCAGGGGCTGAATATGATTAGCAGAAACTCTTACTGACAGCTCCAAAGAGAATCCCTCAAATGCATATTCTATTGAGTGCATCTCATTGCTGCTGGCAGCCGCTTTATCAATTAAATTCCACATTCCCAGTCTTTGGAGACGCCACACACCTCCCTACCTAATAAATCACAGGCCCCCAGTTATTGTTAAATGTCCCATCAGTCTCTAATAAACTCCCTGCCAGCAGGGGCAGGTTATTTATTATGCTGCTGGGACAAGAATGAATTAGGCCCCATTCTCACAAGGAGAAGAACAAACATGATGCCTTCCTCTCTAAAGACTGAGGCCATGGCATTAAGTGCGGCAATTAATCAACATGGGCTTTGGGCAGAGGGGTTCTGATTTAGAGAGAGGGAGGTATGTCTGGGTTTTTTCCCCCAAAACTAACTAAGCAAACCCCCATTGCCAGAGGTGGCTGAGCAGAGTGCTGGGGCCAAGGCCTTTGCTGCTTCTGCCTCGGCCTGATTCTTCCTGTCTGAAAAGGTACTGGAGATCTGATCACCCTATCAATCAGGCGGGTACATGTAACAACGGTCGTTCTCCATGCTAGGAGGTACCAACATAGGATTGAGCAGGGTCATGAAATAATAAATTTTGTCCAAAAGACCAGATATTGTTACTTGATACATTTGATGTCACTCAAGTCTAATGATGGTACTAGTCCATGAGCAGATGCACTGAAGAATATAGAAGGAAAGGAGAGAGAGAGAGAACTAGGAAACACATGCTCAGCCACGGTTTGGGGGATTAGCAGCATGCAGATGAGCTCCAGCCCCTGGAAAGCAGGGTACTGACATCTAAGAGACCCAGTTGCCTTAAGGTGTAAGGAATGGTGTGTAAAGTCGACCCTGCAGTTCACCTGCCTCAGATTAGATCCCAAATTTAGGTAATGCTCCATGATCTGCAAGTTAAAATCCAAACTCCTCAGCTTTACCATTAATCAAGCCCCCAGTCTACATTTCCCACTGCAATTTTTCTTCTTTGCTACATAACACTATGCCCTTGGAGAGAGCACAGCACACTCATTTTATGTTCCCTGTGATGGCAGACAAAGTCCTTCATGATGTGGGACCAATATAGCTCTGCAGCCTCATTTCCTGGCAGTTCTGCCATTCTTGCTTCCGTTCACACTGAAGCTTGTACCTTCCCCAAACTACTATGGTTTCTCATACTTCCACGCCTTTGCACAAACTGTTTCCTTTGCCCAGAATATCTTTGTAACTTGTTGGCCTGGTGAGCTCCCCTTCCACCCCCACTGCCTAAGAAAGTCCTTATCCATCCTTCAGGATCTGCTTAGAAAATCAGCGGACAGTGCTTCATGGGACTTGGGCTGTTTCCTGGTACCATTGTCTTGGCAGAAATACTAGGGATTAGGGAAGGAATGATCTGTGCATGGAGTTTTTCTCATAGTCCAACATGTGATTTTGGGTGGGGATGAGAAGGGCATAGAGAAGAAAGCTATTGCTCCCTGAATACCAAACACTGTTTTCCTCAATTTCTCAGAAGTTCGCACTCTCTCCCACAAGACAGCCACACTGAGCAACTAACGCCCTGAAAAATGTCAGTACTGCATATTTTACACCACTTTGAGCTTTTTGCATATTTCCTCCTTAGGCAGTGCCACTTGTTCACGTGTCTCCTTCTCCTTGAGGGCAAAGGCTTTGTTTATTTTGTCCCATTTTTGTATCTCTAGCATTTGGCTGATTCATATTAGGTGCTCAGAAAATTTTTGTTGAGTGACTAGAGAGATGTTTGCAGATTGAATTGCTGGCTAGCAATGTTGCTTATCCTGTTGCTTTGAGAGTCAAATGAGAATAAGAGGCTTGGCTATAAGAACTTTAGTTCTTTCTCTCCACATTCTCCCATGGAACCTCACACTCAGGCTGGGCCACCTCATATCCATGCTTTTATTTATACTGTTTTCCTTTCCTCTGGATGCAGAAACCTTCAGTGTGAAATAATTGCATGGGGTTATATGAACCTCATCATCCATTCTGTTCTACATCCTATTCCCACTTCTTTAGTTCACCAGAATCTCTCTTTCTCCTCTAGCTTCCAGGTACAAAAGGTGAGGAAAGGCTTTCCAGGTAGACAGAACAGCATAAAAAGAGGCTGGGTTCTCATTATTTTCTTTTCCTGGGGTAAGTCAGGAGGCAGACAACAGTCCAACTGGTTTCTGTGTATGTTACTCTTACACCATACCTGGTTATAAAATGGTCTCTTACCTCTGTTTTTATCTTTGCAGCACTAAAAACTATGGTCAACAATATTATTATGATTTTTGACCACTGAGATAAAAATTTTGATTTGTGCTTTTAGCTATAGCAATAAAATTTATTCCTAGCTATGTATTCCTCATAATATTTGTGTCCATAAAACATGGTAAACAACAAATACAAGAACAGAATGCCTATGAAACTATAAATGTCCTTTTCTGGAAAAGTAGTGTGTTTCTTGTGGTTTGAGAGCTTGATTACTGCTGTGGGCATGGAGATCTGGCAGAGATTTTTCAGTGAGGAAGTATCAGCCATTCAGTGTTTATTAGGTCCACCAAAGGCCTGGTGTTGGGCTGCAGAGCTTGGTGTGACAAAATTCCCATCTTTGAAATGCTCATAGTTTATTTAACGCGAGGGACAGACATGTAAACAAGTACATAGAATGTGGTAAGAGCTAGACTGGAATTATTTATAGCCTGAAGTAGAATCCTGACATGGGAAATAAAAAGGATGTCAAAAGGAGCAGGATCTGAAGCTTGACACCAACAACCTAAAGATATCCACTTCAGAAAGATCACTCCAGTGCCTGTAGGGTGGGTGGCTAAGAGAGAAGAAACTCTGGGCAGGAGGACCATTCAGGTTGTTGCAACAGGATAATAAGCGGGCCTAAAATAGGACAGATGTTATGGAGACTGGAGAAGAATAATGAATGGAATATTTGGAGGCAAAATTACCTGCCTTCAGGTAATTGTTAGGAGAAGGAGAGGGATAGCAGAAGGTGGAGTCAAGAATAATTCCCAGGTTTGGGACTTGGGGATTAGGTGGATGAAAGAGGTGGGGTACTAGGAGGGAGCCTGCAACCTTTAGTGCTGGCTCCCAGCAGTCTCCTTTCTTTCACATGGTAGGGCATTTTCTTAGTGTTTTGTGTGTTTCTAGCAAAAGGCATCTTCAGGACCCCTTTTTGATGGGATTATCATGCTAAAGCCCCTGCTACATCATTTGGAATCTGTATCATTACTGTTTGTGTGTGTGTGTGTGTGTGTGTGTGAGTGTGTGTGTGTGTGTGTGTGGTGTGTGTGTGTGTGTGCGCGCACGCACGTGCGTGCAGGGGGTTGAGAGAGAATGACTAAAATTTTAAGGACAAAGGAAAAAGTTGGATTTGGTTGCAGAACATCTTTGAATTGTAAGAACAGATTTCAGAAATACTTAAATTTGGAATTATGACTTACTTTGTTACAGAAACTCATTTATTTAATAAATATTGAGCGTTTAAACTATGTGTCAGATTTTTTTTTCTTTCCCCATTAGCAGAGAACAAGACAGAATAGCTTCCTGTCCTCAGACAGTATGGGAGACAGACCATAAACACACATCATTTCAGGTAGTGGTAAGTACCGCGAAGAAAAATACAACAGAACAAGGGAATAGAAAGAAGTGAGAAAGGGGAGCGGACAGGACAGGGGAAGCTGTCTTAGTGTGTTCTGGAAAGACCTCTTTGGAAAGGTGATAATTGAGCAGAGACGTAAGTGACAGAAGATGATAAAGAGTGTCGTCACCCATGAGATGGTGATTTGGGAGGAATAGGAGCATCACATAGAAGACATGTCTGAGATAATCAGGCATCTAAGTGGATATGCTGGGAAGGCAGATGAATGTACAAGTCTAGCGTTCAGTGGAGTCTCAGGTAGATATGAATTTGGGAGTTGTCAGTCTGGTTCCTGGTTCAAATCGATTTATTGGGGCTCACCGTGTGCCAGGCACAGTGCTGACGGATGGGGACACGCAGATGAATAAAGCGGTACAGCAGGTAGGCGTATACCAGATAATCCTGTCTCGGTGTACGCCGGCTCCTCTGCGAGGGCAGAGCGAGCGGCGAGCGAGGGCGGGACCGCTTAGGCCTCAGGAGGTGGAGACCGCAGCGCCCAGGCTTCGAGGCCGGTAGTGTGACGCTAGGACGCATCACAAAGGCAGCGTTGTGAGGGTGGTGACGCGAGGGGCGGAGGGCTGGGCAGGCGGCCCGAAGAGCCGGGAGGCGGGGTGGCACCCCCACCGTGAGCGCGAGGCGCTCTCTGTAGGCGGCAGGCGGCAACACACAGGTAGCCCGTTTTCCTCTCCTCCCTCTTCTCGCCTTCCTTAGGCCACATTTTGTGTGTGTTATCGCTGTTCTGAGTCTTTCCAAGCCCCCTATTTCCGCCCCTTCTCCCGCCAAACCCTGTCCAGGCCAGGCGTGTCAGTGTCTTCGCGGAAGGCTGTCCATAAAGTTTTTCTTCTTCTCGTTTTCGGCGCCCTTCCTTCCCTCAAGTACCGCGAGATCTGGCGGCGTGGCTACCATGGCGCAGGCGTTTGAAGGCCCTGAGGCGGTAGCGACGTTGGAGACAGCTATGCCGGCGGAGCGTGCGGCTGCTCAGCACTCGGTCCCGGCGCCAAACCCCAGGGCCGTGCGGAGCCTGCAGACCGCTCACGACGTCGGCGGCCCGCGAACCCGCACGGGGGACGTGCTGCTGGCGGAACCGGCGGACTTCGAGTCGCTGCTGCTGTCGCGGCCGGTGCTGGAGGGGCTACGGGCGGCCGGCTTCGAGCGGCCCTCGCCCGTGCAGCTCAAGGCCATCCCGCTGGGGCGCTGTGGGCTTGGTGAGGGCGGGGATTCCCGGAGAGGCCGCGGGGTGGGCGGCGGTGGCAAGGAAGGGGTGCTGAGGAGCGGCGCTAGCGGCTCGGCCCGCGGCTTTGACGGGAAGAGCGCCGGGTCGAAGGCTCGGCCTGGCCCAGCGCTGCACGCCCACGGGCCTCAGTGTCCTCTTTTGTACAACAGAGGCTCAGTATTGAATTGAGAGAGAGTTAAGACCTTAACAGACTGACGAACGGTTGTAAGTTTGAGAAGATAGAAGGTAGGGAGATTCAGGGTCGAGGCATGTTTCCGAGTATGGCCTCATGTGATTTGATAGTTAACTAAAAATGGAAGTGCCGACTAGTTGATCTTTGGAGACCCTTTTAGTTCTGTGATTTCATGGTGGTACTCAAGCTTCTTGAGTCAGTAGTATCTGGTGATGTATATATTTTTTTCTTCTCAGATTTAATTGTTCAAGCTAAGTCTGGCACTGGGAAAACCTGTGTATTCTCCACCATTGCTTTGGACTCTCTTGTTCTTGAAAACTTAAGTACCCAGGTGAGTTTAGCTCAGAGGCCCCAGAGGAGGGTGTATATGTGGATTTTACCACAGGTCAAATGAAATACCAGTAGTTCTTTGGAGATAGAAATGAATTTGATGAATGACTGAGTTACACCATATGAAAAGTATAAAAGTAAAGTAGACATTAAGGCCACTGAGTGGTGGTGTAGATGGTGACCGAAGACACATTATTAGTGTTAGAAGTTTGGAAATATTACTACACGTCTTAAATAGAGTGTCATGTCTGTTCATATTGTCATTACCTGAGCATACAGATAGACATTCTTTATTCTTTTACTTGCTGACCAGATTGTGGTGAGATTTAGCATTTGATCTGATTGATGGTAATGTGGAGCTCTGGGTATTGCTGGTAACTTGCAGCTCTATGAATGCATCATATTGATTGCCTGCCTATCTTTTGGGTTCTTTTCTAGTAGGTCTAAGATGGCTTTACCCAAATTAACAGATTTGGGTTTGGAGACCATTTCTTCAACAAAGATTTGTTGAGCCCACATTATGCAAAGATGAATCAGATATGATCCCCATAATCTTACTTTGTGGTTTAGTAGTTAGGACAGACTGTATTTCAAGTTCTCAGTTATGTATATTTGATAATGACTCTTCAACAGTGGTTTTTAACCCAGATACCCATATTAGGTGTCTGTAAAGCTTGAGTCTTACCTTATACCTGCTAAGTCCTCAGTGATGCTGCACATGGGAAATCCTTCTACTTCCAAGTACCTGGGCTCTTCTACTTGAATTGAGGTGTATTTGAGAATTTGGCTTCTATTTGGCAGCAGGTCAAATGGCAAAACCCTGAATAAATTCTATAAATAAAATTTTGCTTTTTAAATTTAATATCTTTCTGCTATCAAATTAATACATAATCATTTTTAAAAATTGGGAAAACTCGGGAAAAAAAGAAAAAGTGCCAGAAAACAAAATCTTTGCTACCCGGAAATTGCTAGTAACAGTTTTAGCATGCTTTCTCCTAATCCTTTTTTAAGCAGTTTTTTCTTCTCAGAGTTGAGAACTTCTAGTTTCACTCTCCTCCTCCAGTAGTTATATTCTAAAGTTCTCACCTTGACTCTCAAGGTCTTTCATGACCTAGACCCTGGATCTAGATCTCTGACCCTAATTTTGTCCAACCACATGGACTGCCTTACTGTTCCCTCTTCCTGAAAGTAATCCCCAGGTGTTACACAGCTAGCTCTACTTGGGGGTGTACACTTAGGTCTCTGCTCAAATGTTACCTCTTTAGGTGCCATTCTTGATTGCTCCATTTAAAATAGAGTCCTTTCCTTTTGTCTCTTCATTCTCCTTTCCCTATTTGATTTTTCTTCACAATGGGTTTCATTACCTGCCATTATTCATGTTTGTTTATTGTGTATCTCATCCTCCAAGAATGAAAGTGCTATGAGAGCAAGGAGTTAGTATCAACTATTGACTACACAGCAACTTGTTGCCTAGCATGTAGTAGGTTCTTATTTAATATTTGGGTAATAGTAATGAATGAATGAATGGAATAATTTCCCTCCTCATCATTTAAAATGATCGTTTAAATGAAAAATAGTCTACCGTGTTATAAATGTGCCAGTCATAGGTTTTTATTCCACTGACTCTAAAGAGTTTTTATTTTATGATTTTTTAGATTCTGATCTTGGCTCCTACAAGAGAAATTGCTGTACAGATACATTCTGTTATCACAGCCATTGGAATAAAAATGGAAGGCCTAGAGTGTCATGTCTTTATTGGAGGGACTCCATTATCACAAGACAAAACTAGACTTAAAAAGTGTCATATTGCTGTTGGATCTCCTGGTAAGATACCAATGTCTGTTCATAACTGGGGCTTTTAAGGACCTAAACACTTTTAATGTAACAATAAGAAAATGGGAATCTTTGAAAACTACGATAGTTATTTTGAGATTAGAAATTAAGAGCTTTAAACCAGTGAGGTATAGACAGGTGACTGGATTACCAACAGAATTTATGAAATCTCCACTCCTAAGAATGTTTAAGAACATGTATGAGGTAGGCCTCTAAGATGAGGGGTGAGATGCCTTTCAGGAATCCCTCCTTAGCCGTGGACTGGGATTATTCTTTGCTTCTCTATTAATCAGTCAGCAATCAGAATTAGAATCTAGCATTCAGTGCTTTACCATCCAAGTCTTTTGATAGGAATAGTGTTTATTTTCCATATTTATTGGTGATAGAATATGAGGGACAAATAATGGATTCAGGCATTAAAATTCAAGATTTCTAATTTGTGGTTTGGGATGTGAATGCATACTAACGAGGGTTGGGTTAGGAAAGTTAGCAGTGTACAATGATTAAGTAGAGTAACAACATTGACTGAGATTTGCATAAGTTCAGTTCATCATAAATATTTCATTATGTTTTTTCTGGAATTTAGGCAGAATTAAACAACTGATAGAACTTGACTACTTGAACCCAGGCAGTATACGTCTCTTTATTCTTGATGAAGCAGATAAGCTTTTAGAAGAAGGCAGCTTCCAGGAGCAAATAAAGTAAGAAAAATAACTAACTTGACTATTAAAATGTGCCTTAAAGCTCAAAGTACCTATCTTTAGCTTTTCCGGTTTGTGATTACTGTCTGAATTTGTTCCATGGTGTGTTTTTTCCTTCTATTCTGCAGTTGGATTTATTCTTCTTTGCCTGCCAGTAAACAGATGTTGGCCGTATCAGCTACTTACCCTGAATTTTTGGCTAATGCTTTGACAAAGTACATGAGAGAGCCCACTTTTGTAAGACTAAATTCCAGTGACCCAAGTCTCATAGGTGTGTATGGAGATGCTGATTTACCTACATTACTGGTTTGTTGGTGATATTCTGGAGCTTTCCCTTGCTCAGTTGGCAGTTGCTTTCATATTTGCTATTAGGGTATAGCAGATATGTTTGTTTTAACAGAAGACTGTTCTTTGTAGGTTTGAAGCAGTATTACAAAGTTGTCAATTCATACCCTTTGGCACATAAGATTTTTGAGGAGAAGGTTCAGCATTTACAGGAACTGTTCAGCAGAATTCCATTTAATCAAGCCTTAGTCTTTTCTAATTTGCACAGCAGGTAATGTACCTTAAGGGCCATCTGGGGAACTTTTGAGGATAGGTGTGGGGCAATATTTGTAAAATTTATAACCCTTCATGTTATTTTTCATAGAGCACAGCATTTGGCTGATGTCCTTTCTTCTAAAGGCTTTCCTGCTGAGTGCATTTCAGGTAAGTTCATCTCTTTAATCTTTTGTTTAGTATCCTGACTTGAAGCCTTTCTAAATCAGAAGGAAGCAATATACTTCATGAGTTGTCTTAAGAGTGAGGTTATAATGAGTCTTAAAAGTAATGGAAATTTCAGGTTTATTTTTCACTGGGATTTGAAATATTAATATCCTTGTGTTTTAAGAAGTAACTTGGTATATAATAAAATAGAAAACAGGAGTTAGATCCATGAAGAATTCAACAATTTTATAAAACAAAGTTTGTCTTTGTCATCTTAAGAAAAAAATATTTTGCTTTTTTACACAATCATTGTAAAAATGATGAGAATTTCTAACTGAACTGACTCTTTTATGGTCTTCTGGTCATTTTTGACACAAAGCTAAATAATTATTGCTGGCCTAATAGGAATGAAAGAGTTAAAGGAATTTTTGATCAGCTGAGATCCTTTTTCGAACTTTGATTCATACCACAGCTTAGTTTTTAACCTATTGTTTAGTCACAGTTATCATGAGATACTAGGGAGGCTATTTTCTAATGGACTAATATTTTGACTGTAGATCACACTTAACCACCCGATTTACAAACAGCTGATTGAAGCACTCTTATCTTGCTAAGACCTGTTATACCTCATCTGTAATTTTGCAGATACAATGTTATATCTGCAGGTATAGCCTAGTTGCCATTTAAAGTTGGTTTTTGAATTTCAAGTTGATTGCCTAAACCATATTTTAAAAGGTTCTGACTCTAGGTCTTAACCTACATTTGCATATAAGGACAATTCACTTAAGTTGGTCTATTTTTAAAGTGTTAAGACTGGGAGTTATGATTCCTGCTTTTTGTGGATTTGATAAATGTGTATTAGCTTGTTTTTGTATGACTTCCGTTTTGGGTCTTTTTAGGCAACATGAATCAGAGTCAGCGTCTTGATGCTATAGCTAAACTGAAGCAGTTTCACTGCAGAGTCCTCATTTCCACAGATTTGGTAAATTTCCTGTTCAGTTTGGGTGACTAATCCATCTTGACATATGTTCTGTTAAGATGTACAGATTTCATCTATTATTTTTTGTGGGTGTATCCGACAAGAGTACCAGAAGATATTTGTCTTTTCAGTGCTGCGGGTTATGCTTTGTTAAAAGTCTTTTATATTTTTATGTTTATTCTTAAAATTAGTCATTAGAAATGAATTTCCTTTTCCTTTGTTCCTAAATATCAGCTTGTTCTTATTCTTAATTTGGCTCTTTTGGTTATACTAGAATAATATAGTGTGCATTGGTACCCATTTACAGTTTAATGCAAACAGTTGCTCTCTCCTTTTCAAGACTTCCCGTGGAATTGATGCAGAGAGGGTGAATCTGGTTGTAAATCTGGACGTACCATTGGATTGGGAGACCTATATGCATCGGATTGGCAGAGCTGGCCGTTTTGGTAAAAAAACTTGCTTCTTTTTCTTTTTATTATTTTTATTATTTTATTTTTATTTTTGCTATCATTAATCTACAATTACATGAAGAACACTATGTTTACCAGGCTCCCCCCTCTCACCAAGTCCCCCCCACACACCCCACTACAGTCACTGTCCATCAGCGTAGCAAAAAACTTGCTTTCTTTTTTTTTTACAGGCAAGCTATATTTTATTGAACTTCACAGATGTTTTTTACAAATTGAAGGTTTTGAGCATTGAGGAAGTCTATTGGCACCATTTTTCCACTTTGCATTTTCTCACTTTGCATCTCTGTATTACACTTTGGTGATTCTTACAATATTTCTTACAATATTTCAAACTTTTAAATTATTATTATATTTGATATGGTGATCTGTGATCAGTGATTACAACTCAGTAAAAGCTCAGATGATGGTTAGTATTTCTTTAAAAAAAAATTTTTTTTTTTATTATTTTGGCATCATTAATCTATGATTACATGAAGAACATGATGTTTACTAGGCTCCCCC